ATGCAGGCTCTAGATTTGGGGAAAGGAAACCATCTAGTGGCCCAAGTTGGCCTCTACTAGTGGTTTGCACCAAATGCAGTGCAGGCGATCATTTTCCCATGGGTTCTGATTTCTCAGCTTTATCTAACAGTCACTCTATTTCCTCACTTGCCCGAAGCTGCCATGCATGGCTGGTAAGACACAGTTCTACCCCTTTGTCCCTTGGATCCCACTCAACCTAAAGCTTAACTTACCTAGAAACCAGTCTTATCCTATACAGGCAGACCTTGTTTAGTATCCTCTCTAGTTCCATATCATCTTGGTAAGAAAAGCCTTGAGTTTTTCCTTAGTTTGTTAATACATTCAGTCAATACATTATTTAAGATCTGCTATATTCAAGACACAGTGCGGGGCCTTTAAACTGCTGCTTATATACAAATGAAGAAGAGGCCCTAGCTGGGTAGCTCAATTGGTTAGAGCATCCTCCTGATATGCCAAGGTTGTGGTTCAATCCCTAGTCAGGGCACAAATAAGAATCAACCAATGAATGCATAAATAAGTGGAACAACAAATCAATGTTTCTCTCTCTCTCTCTCTCTCTCTCTCTCTCTCTCTCTCTCTCTCTTTCTCCCTTTTTTTCACCTCTCTCTCTCTGTAAAAAATCAATAAATTAAATAAAAATGGCCTGGCTGGTGTTGCTCAGTGGTTGGTTGGGCACAGTCCCCTGCACCTGGGTGTTGCTGGTTCTGTTCTCAGTCAGTACACATGCCCAAGTTGTGGGCTTGATCCTTGGTAGGGCCTATATAAGAGGTATCCAGTCTATGTTCCACTCTCACATTGATGTTTCTCTCTCCCTCTCCCTTCCACTCTCTCTAAAAATCAATTTAAAAAATTTTTAAATGAAGAAGAATGATCTCTGTCTCCACAATGCTGAGATGAGGCACTGAAACAGTCAAACCACAAGGGATAAGTACCATGTCCTCAGGTACATATGGAGGACATGCTCCTGGAGTGCCAAGGGAGATACTTCTTGTATCCGTCTGGGAAAGGCTTCATGGGACAGAGGCACCCTACTTGGCCTTGAGAATTGAATGAAATTTGAATCTGAGAACAGGAAGAAGAGCATCTTGGACAAAAACACAGCATGAGCAAAGGCACAGAGGTGTGAAGGCAGGATGTGTATTAAAAGCAGAGTCTTGCCAAGGCACGGACTCAGCGAAGAGCTGTCCAGCCTCCCTCAGAGGCTCTCAAGGTACTGAAGGAGGAGGGCAGGAACACACCAGGGAAAGCAAAGACTGGCAGCCAGGGGGGCAGAGGTATGCTTAGTTTGGCCAAGGTGCTGTTTGAAATATTTCAGCCAATTTCTAAAATCAGATTTCACCTAAAAATCCAGATTTCTGGTTTCTTCTGAAACTTGAAAGATCTGGGAACACAGGCGGTACTTTTTCAGGATGGCAGTTGACTGGAACTGAAGAATAGCTGCCTCTTTTCAGGAGGGTGTCATGTCTGTCTCCCCTACACAGAACTCAGCTTGCTTCTCCCTTCACCCTATCTGCTCAGCCCCACAGGTGTCTAAGCGGCAGGCCAGGTGCAAGCTCAGCTGAACCAAATGTGGAGACATGAATGACAGACCCTAAGGGCCTCTATTCCAGCTCACGGATTCCCACATGGGTTAGTTTTCAGGGTTCTCTGGATCTGGCTGCTACCCCAAAGATAGACTCCTCTTTAAAATGTCAGCATGCACGGCTCTCAAAATTAGGAGATGTGGACGTATTTAAAACATCTCTAAAAACAGCTCATGCTGCCCAGGACCGGAGGCCCAGCCGATTAGTGAGAAAGCTGACACAACCCAGTCCCTGCACTGTTCATCCTACCCTGCCAGGGAGGTCGGCGATTTATTAAATGGACTCTCCCTGTTCTGAATGTCTACTGTCAGCCCTTTCTCTCTGCCTCAGTGTCTACCTTCAGACTCCTTCGTTAGCTGACAAGAATGGTACTGACAGCTGAGGAAGGTCCGATTCCTCATCGGGACAGGAAATCCAGCTTTGGAAAGTGCCAGTCCTCTTCCAGGGTGATCAGGAAAGCAGTGGCAGCAGTGTCAGTCATAGAGCCCAGGAATCCCACAGCTTAGCCCAGCCGTGGGCAAACTACGGCCCGCGGGCCAGATCCAGCCCATTTGAAATGAATAAAACTATTGAAAAAAAAAAAGACCGTACCCTTTTATGTAATGATGTTTACTTTGAATTTATATTAGTTCACACAAACACTCCATCCATGCTTTTGTTCCGGCCCTCCGGTCCAGTTTAAGAACCCATTGTGGCCCTCGAGTCAAAAAGTTTGCCCACCCCTGGCTTAGCCCCTTGGTGGCAGCACTAATGAACTAGGAGGTCAGTTTGGTCATTCCTAAGTCTAAGCTCTTGTAACTATAAATAAATACATAGAAGGAAAGGAATGCAGAAAAGAAAAATGAACAGGGAGGGGCAGGGGGTAAGGGAATGAAAACATAACTGGGTTTCATTGAGGAAATTAGTTTAAAATGCCCTTTGTGTGGCAGTTGCACCAGTACCTTGCTGGCAGCTGCTCAGGAGAATTCTTCCAAAACCTATGTCCCTTTTGGTAGACCTTGGTGTTTCTCGTAGGCTGGGGTTCAGTAATTCGGGGACAGTAGGAAGGCTTTTGTGTACTCCGTCAAGCAGGAAGCAAAGGCCTGATGGACCACAAAACTGGATACTTTGTAAGGTACAGAACAGTCAGCACTTTCCCCTGAGGAGAGAACACACAATTAATTGGCAGGAAAGCAACCCAAGCGATGGGCAGGGGAGGAGAGCGTCCAAAAGTCCATTTCCAGCTCCAGGTTCTTTCAGGCGTCAAAGTGCATTGCTGTACTCCCTGGATGTGTCTGACCAGATGCAAATGCTGGTCTCATGTAGAGGCCATTTGTGGACCAATGTGAATTAGATGGCAACGTTGGGAATGCTGGAAGCGGGGAGGTTGTGTTTTGTGGGCTTTATCCCCCTGCGGTTCGCACCATCTGTTTCTTTTAATGCATAAACAAGGGAAAATGACTGGCTTGGAATACAAAGTTTTTCAAAAAAACAGATGACCACAGGCATCCTCTAAATGAGAAAGAGAGAGCAAGTTGGGGTTCCGTGACATTTGTCAGGAAGTGAGAAGTTAAATACTGGGAAGCATTAATGCTTCGCCAGGGAAGCGCCACAAAGGCAAGGAAAAGCCTTGTCCATGCCCCGCCTTCCTGAGGTCATGCCCTGTGTTTACATTTCACCAAGAGTTATTTTCAGATCCCAACACCGCCCACCCCCCTCCCTTCTTAAACTAAAGATGAAGCTGCTCGGCATAACCAGCCTTGGTTTTCCATTAGCAGTATTGCTAACTTGGCAACCTTGCAGAGAATCTACTATTAGAAACTTTTAGAATGAACAAAGGCTGCGTTGTGAGCGTGTGCTACTATAAAGCCAAAATAGAGAGCTATAAATAGAGGAGCTGATGAGAAAGACAAAGAGAAGATACTTTCTCTCCTCAACAGTAGTGAAGTATATATATATATATATGAGGGCATTAGGAACAGTGTGTTTTTCTTGAGCAAAGGGCATCCTGCTTTAAAAAGGAAGGTTTGCTCTGCACAACACAGTGGCTACTAGATAGAATAGTTCTGTATGCTCTGTGCCAACAAACCTTAAAGCTACAGATTCTTTTTTTAAACTGAAGGCAGTGGAGAGATTTGATGGAGTGGTGACTGCATTCTAATCTCTTTTACCTTCATTGCAAGAAGCAATCAGCCACAAGCATCAGGGATTTAAAACCAAACTGAACTGGGGCATTTTAGAGCCGCTGGGGAGAAGAGCATTGGTGCATTTGGCTGAGTTCCACCCTTTTCAGCACAAGACAGACATGAGCATTTTTCACATCGTTTGTAGGCAGCCTGACGCCAGAGTTTTCATATTAGAGAAAGGATTAAAGATGACGATTGCTTAGGGAACAATCAACTCCTCCTAATTTGCAAGATCTGCTCTCAAAAATTCCATGGGCAATACCGAGGTGGGCGCCGTTAGTCATTCAGGGGCAGGGGTTAGGCAGAAATAAGACCCTGGCAATTTAGAAGCCTTGGGAGGATTAAATACATTTCAAAATGAGTATAAGTTCAAATAATTTCTCTATCCGTGCTTAGGACACAGTGAAGTATGTAGATATGAAAACACAAGCCTGTTGGGTGCCATTGGTGTGATTGACATTGGCTCCCGGGTTTGTGATGAGTGGATTTGGCTTCTGCCGGCCCTTGGACTTGCATACTGTCTGCGATGTTTGCTTCCCTGGTGGAAACGGGAGAATGATTAGAGCCCTGCGCCCTGTTCCTAGGACTCCCTGACTCTGTGTTTAATTTGTTTCCTACATTAGATTGAAAGCTACTGCAGGCTTCTAAAGGCAGCACTGTGTGAGCATTGGTTTCATGAAAGTACTCTACTGACCTGTGGCATTTCAGTTATAATCGTAATAATGGCAGATGAAGAGGCGTCCTGGGGAAGGCATGAGAGGAATTTTAAGTGGCTGAACTCAATTTGTATTATTCATTTTACAAATAGTTTCAGAGCCTTAAATTTTTTTTTTTCACTATGCCCTGCTTTTGAGGCTCCAAAGCAATAATCTAGGGTATTCATAACTTAAAAGTGGTTCTCCCTTCAAGCACATTTTGGGAATTGAGTCTTTATCTGACCAGCTTTGAGATGATTTTGTTACCATGGGGAAGGGGGATAGAGATATTTCAGGGGCTTGTTCTTCACAGGGATTCAGGAGGAATTAAAGTTTATTGGCCTCATGTCCCCTTGTCTCCTTCCTTTTCTCTCTTTTCTGTTTCTTTGGGTTGTTTTGTTGTTGTTGTTGTTTTTCGTTATTTTTTTCTTTCTTTTGATGGGGGCAATGAGGGAAGAGTGTCCGATGAGGAGGCTAGGAAATTCACTTAGAACTTGGCCTTGGAATTTTACACTTCTCTGTCTTCTTGCCCACAGGTGGTAACCCCCGTGAGGACAGGCCATGGCTATGTGTACGAGTACCCATCTAGATACCAAAAGGACATCTACGATATCCCTCCTTCCCATTCCACTCAAGGGGTACGTACCAGGCCCATGGTCCCCATGGGACAGGAGCACTTCAGGTGGCATTCCTTCAGCACTACATGTGAAAATAAAATTACAAATTATGTACATTTCATATGAAGCTTGATTTGTCTATTCAGGAGCCCTTGTAGCCAACATTATTAAATTATATTTTCTGGATTTGCTTTATCAAGAAATCCTAGGCTTTTATCTGACAAAGCTTTTGTTGCTTATCAATTTATCATTTTATTTCAGGAAGTATATAATATCAACTACAGTTTAAAGTACAGACAGTGTAGATATTCCACTTATGATCATTTTTACATTCAATCTAAGTAAAAAAAAAAAAATAAGAAATTAAACAAATTTTCACCAACTCCATGTTATATAGAATGCTGTAAAAGAGGAAGGATGTACATAAGCTGGTAAATAAATCCATAGTTCAAAGCTTGAACGCATAAAAAATGACAAATATAAGACATCCCTAAACTCAGGTATTTATTTTCAGGTATATGATATCCCTCCATCATCGGTGAAAGGCCCGGTGTTTTCAGTTCCAGGGGGAGAGATAAAACCTCAAGGGGTCTATGACATCCCTCCTACTAAAGGGGTAAGTGAGCTCCTACAGAGCAGCAAAAAAGTGTGTGTGTTTATTTACTGGGATGAAGCAGGAAGGACAAACCAAAAGAAAACTAGTCTCTGGGAGAGAATAAAGGGATGGGAGGGAAGGAGAAAGTGAGGAAGAAAAGACAATAACTAAAGATAACCCTATGGATTCCATATTTAGAGTCCTCCCCCCCCCTCTAAAAATGGGGTAGTCAATAAGGAGAGTCAATAAGAAGGTAAAATCATTCATTCAGTTTGGCAAGCAACTAATATATGTCATATGTATATAGGGTGTCACAGCACACTCTGTCCATGTATTTGTGTTAATGAATTTGATTCACTCTGCTACCCTCAGGAGGAGGCCTACATGGGAAGTACATTTATCCTTATTTTACAGATGAGGGAAGTGTGTCTCAGAACACCCAAGTGACTTATGAAGTATCACACAGCTGGTAGACCCAGGGAGAGACCTGAGGTCTTCTGACACCTAGTGCAGTGTGTTCATGCATACACTGCCTCTCAGCCTGAATCCTCCAAGGCTGGGACCCAGAGAGAGCAACTCAGCTATCAGAGCGCACACAACAGGCAGCACTGGGGCCAGGGGAAGGACAAAGGAAGTGGGAGCAGAGTGGGGCCTTGGAAATACCTCTCATTAGTGGGTTGGGGTGGAAGAAGAGGAGGCAGTAAACAGGACTGAAAACCCAGGCCTTCTTCTTTTTTTCTTTTTGTTGTTTGTCGTTGTTGTTAATCTTCACCCAAGGATATTTTTTCCATTCATTTTTAGGGAAGGAGAGAGAGAGAGAGAGAAAGAGAGAAACATTGATGTGAGAGAGATGCACTGATTGGTTGTCTCTCACACATGCCCCAACGAGGGCCCAGGATCAAACCTGAAATCCAGGTACCTGCCCTTGACCAGGAATCAAACCTGGATCCTTTGGTGCATGGGCTGACACTCTAACCACTGAGATACACTGTCCAGGATCAGGCCTTCATTTTAATGTGTAGTTGTTTCCCCATGTTCACATGAGCCAACTCAACAAACTAGCTTCGGTTTCTACTTACTTTTCAGGTATATGCCATTCCACCCTCTGCTTGCCGAGATGAAGCAGGGCTCAGGGAAAAAGAGTATGATTTCCCCCCTCCAATGAGACAAGCTGGAAGGCCAGATGTCAGACCTGAGGGCGTGTATGACATCCCCCCGACCAGTACCAAACTGGTGGGAAATGACCTTCACATGAAATATAACTGTGATGCTACAGGAGCTGCTGAACTGGTAGCACAAAGACACCCAAGCATTTCCCTGAAACACCCACCCTCACTGCTGGGACCATCAGGGGGCACTCAGAATGATGCGTATGATGTCCCTCGAGGGGTACAGTTTTTGGAACCACCAGCAGAAACCAGTGAGAAAGCAAACCCTGAAGAAAGAGACGGTGTTTACGATGTCCCTCTGCACAACCCAGTGGACGCCAAAAGCTCTCAGGATGTGGTAGATGGCATCAATCGATTATCTTTCTCCAGTACAGGCAGCACCAGGAGTAACATGTCCACGTCTTCCACCACCTCAAAGGAATCTTCACTGTCAGCCTCCCCATCTCAGGACAAAAGGCTCTTTCTGGACCCAGACACAGCCATTGAGAGACTCCATCGGCTCCAGCAGACCCTGGAGATGGGTGTCTCCAGCCTAATGGCACTGGTCACGACCACGGACTGGAGGTGCTATGGATACATGGAACGACACATCAATGAGATACGCACCGCAGTGGACAAGGTGGAGTTGTTCTTGAGGGACTACCTGCATTTTGCCAAGGGCGCTGTAGCAAATGCTTCCTGCCTCCCGGAACTCACCCTCTACAACAAAATGAAGCGGGAGCTGCAGAGAGTAGAAGACTCCCACCAGATTCTGAGCCAAACCAGCCATGACTTAAATGAGTGCAGCTGGTCCCTGAATATCCTGGCGGTCAACAAGCCCCAAAACAAGTGTGATGATCTGGACCGCTTTGTGATGGTGGCAAAATCGGTGCCTGATGATGCCAAGCAGCTCACCACAACAATCAACACCAATGCAGAAGCCCTCTTTAGACCAGGCCCTGGCAGCTCCCATGTGAAGAATGGGCCCGAGAGCATCATGAACTCCACTGAGTACCCCCATGCTGGATCCCAGATGCAGCTGCTGCATCCTGGAGACCACAAGGCCCAGGCCCTCAACAAGGCGGTGCCCCCACACCTGAGCAAGGATCAGCCTGTAGCTGACTGTAGCAGCAGTGATGGCTCTGAAAGGAGTTGGATGGATGATTATGACTATGTCCACCTACAGGTAAAGCAACCAGACTCCTAAACCACCTATAGCAGTGGTTCTCAACCTTCTGGCCCTTTAAATACAGTTCCTCATGTTGTGACCCAACCATAAAATTATTTTCGTTGCTACTTCATAACTGTAATGTTGCTACTGTTATGAATCATAATGTAAATATCTGATATGCAGGATGGTCTTAGGCGACCCCTGTGAAAGGGTCGTCTGACCGCCAAAGGGGTCGCAATCCACAGGTTGAGAACCACTGACCTATAGTCACATTCAGGGAGCCTAGAAGTAAGGCCTGTGAAGCTGGCAGGCTGGACTACCAGAGGAGAGAACATGATTAATAATCCAAACAGTTCACTAATTGGAGGCAGTGTACATAGGGAAGAACACTGGCCTGATAGTCTAGAGTCCTTGGTTTGAGACCTTCCTCTGACACTAATTGTGTGACCAACGTATGTAACCTCCCTGGGTCTTATTGTCCTCATTTGAAGCACAAGGTTGTATTTGACCCTACTGATGGAAGAGACTCCCTAGTAGGAGAGTGGGCCCTTGGAGAATCATACCAGCTTCACTTCTATTTGCCTTTTATGATATAGTTCAAAATGACATTTTATTTTTTAAAAGATGGGACAGGGAGTTTAACTATTAAGAAAAAAATAATTGAAAGCCTCTGCACTAGAGAATTTCTAAGGTCCATCATATCTAGTGTGTGTGTGTGTGTGTGTGTGTGTGTGTGTGTGTGAGATTACTTACAGAAAACTTAATCTCATCCCAGACTTACCTTGAAGACCACTGGGCATTTGCCAGTTATCTAGGACTTAACCTGGATATGGGAAATTGGGCAATCAAAGTCTGCCTCCTACAGGTGGAAATTCCACCAAGTTGACCTGGGATCTTGATAACTTGCCTTTTCACTTTGGGGGATTGAAACATTCTACCAAGATCCATTATTTAGAATTTAGCTTACTCTCTTACTCTGCCATTCTTTTCATTTGACTAAGAGCCAAAGATTATTCTGAGAACTATAGTGTTTAACTACAATTCCCTTGAGTGCCGGATACTGGGGAAGGAAGCACTGAGCCACACCTAGTGCTAAGGAAAGGGCTGGTTGTCCAATTCTGCATGTTGAGAAATATTATCATGGTGTAGAGTTGTAGATGATTCAAAGAAATTAGAAGTGCAACATTTAAACCTGGGTTAGGAGGTTAATGGGTTCAAATATAATCTATTAGAAAAGAAACCTAAGAAATAGTACTGGATAAGGAGGCTTGAAGGGGATCATGAATAGCTCTCTGAAAATGGTAAAGTGGAACAGAGAAGGTGGCATCCTACATGTAGCCCTAACTTAACACAGTCACTGTGGAGGTCTGGCCGAGAAGCACATCATCCCTGTCTAGGATTTATGGAGTCTAATTGGGCATGTGGGAAATTACCAAGGCAGTGGAAAATGAAACAGTACTTAACCATTTGTCAATGAAATTGTTAGCATAAGTGAATCATAGTGGTGATGTAATGTTTGCTTTATGTTGAAAAATAATAGGGTAAAGAGGAGTTTGAAAGGCAACAGAAAGAGCTGCTGGAAAAAGAAAATATCATCAAACAGAACAAGATGCAGCTGGAACATCATCAGGTAAGTTCAATCAGGACAAAAACCACTTGGTATTGAAAAGATTTCCTGCTTAATAAGAAAGGTATAACTTCAAAAGATCGGGATTTTGATCCTTCCAGCACACTTTAGTATAAATAAGCCCCAAGGCATACAATAGAGCATAAGAACAAAGAGAAGGTTTATGATCTTAGTAATCCAGCTGGTATACCTGGATTACATCCAAACAACAATTTTTCCAGGCTAAGCCTGTACATCTACCATATTAGGACTGTTTGGGTTAAGGCTGTTGATCTCAATGAACAAGACCCACTCAAGCTGGCCCAAGCAAAAAGGTTCTCTAGTCGGGGAAATTCTGGAGCAGAAAATGAAGACATATCCAAGTCCAACGAGAACTAGGACTGTAAATTCTTTCTCCTTCTTGTACTTCCTTTGCTTCTCTTTAAATTTGCTTCCTTCTTCCCTATTTTCTTATAGTTTCCCCTGCTTATCTACTCATTTGGCTCCCCTGTAACTTTACAGAACCCATAAATGGCCACTCACAACCCTTTCTATAGATGGCTTTTCATCTCACCTGATAGTCGACCACTGCTGTGATTCATCAAATTCCTAAAAAAGAATCTGATTAGGCTATCTCTGTCTGTCAGTCTGTCTATCTGTCTATCTATTTCCCTACCTACCTATCACTCCCTTACAACACAAGCCTCTGGGTTGGCTGCTCTTGGTCAAATCTAAGGGTAGAGGGCAGGATCCAACATTTCCAAAATATACCCAAGTCCATTTACTAAGGACTTTGGGCAAGACAGAGTCATTCAAAAGTAGAGCTTGAGTGGGGCAGATAATGATGGGTATTGCTGGTGCAAGGGCATAAAAATAAAGAGGAACCAATTGAGGATATATAAGCCCTTTTTTAGATTACATAGAATGGCATGTAGAGACATGAAATGGCAATTGCACTCAGGAAACCAGAGTTATGATCCTTCCTTTCTGACTAACCAGCCATGTGCCCTCAGACAAGTCATTTAACCTCTCTGAACTTCAGTAACTTCTCCATAAAATGAGAAATCCCTCAGCCCTCTATTTAACGAGATGATGTATTTATAGACATATTTGCAAAAGCATAAATTCAGTATTCTGAAGCAGCACCCTATCTCTGTTGATGTTTGCTTTGGCATTAGGCCAAGTAAAACTGCAGGGCTTTAGGTAACTTATTGAAACGGTAGTAATTTCTAAGAAAACAGATTCTGTAGAAAAGTAAAGCTCACTGTGCATTTCTCAGGGAAGGAGCTGGGCAAGGTCACCCTGCTCTACCTCAGGGTGAAAGATTGAGTCCTAAGCTCAGGTTACAGATAGTCCTTACCTGCAAAAGACAATCTCTCTTGAGAGTCGGTGGGATAGCTGGGAGTTATTATTATTGCAACTTAAATAATACACCATCTGGGGGTTGTAATAAGAGAAGGAAGAAAGCTAACACTTGCTGAGTCTGACTCTGTGGCATGTCGTTTTCTTTCAGCAGCTCTGTGGAACTGTTACGATGCACAATTAACATTTAGATTTCCTTAGAGATGTTCTTTTCCACAGTGCACATATAGTTATGTGCATTAGTCTTTCCTGTAGCGCTGGATAATCTATATATATAAAAGGCTAAGTGACCGGCTGACCAGCCCACCGGCCGGTAGATATGACACTCACTGACCACCAGGGGGCAGACATTCAACGCAGGAGCTGCCAAGTGACAGCAACTTTGCAGAGTGCCCTCTTGAAATCCAGGACCCCTTGGGGGACGTCCGACTGCCAGTTTCGGCCCAATCCCCGAAGGCCAGGCTGAGGGACCCCACCTGCCAGAGGGACCCCACTCACTCGGCAGATGCCCTTCGAGCTCCAGCGCCGCCCCAGGTGTGGCTGGCCAGGGAGGGACTGCGGGAGGTTGGCTCCAGGGTGTGTCTGGCCCATCTCACCCTGTCCCGCCCGCTGGCCACCTTCTAATTAATTTCCTTTCGATGTGTACAAATCCATGCACCAGGCCTCTAGTGACATATATAAATCTTGACAGAAAGAGTAGGAATGGTTCATAGAGTGTCATTTATCTTAGCAATGGGTCATGGGTTGTCATTTGTACCAAGAAATGGGTCATGGATTGTCATTTGTCTAAGCATCTTGAAGGACAGAGTCAAAGCTTTCCTGTCAGCAATTTACTTGATAAAGAGATCCCTACATTTGCTTTCCCCTGCACCACTCAACATTTATAAACATTTACATAGAGGCTGTCCTATACCAAACATCATTCTAAGCACTTTGTAAATAATAACTCGCTTAACTTTCATAAAGGTATAGGTAACAGAGCCAGGTTCAAACTCTGCGTGGCCTTCAGTCTAAGGGCAGAGGAGGCCAATCATCTAATCATAGAAAGTCAGAGCTGGTGGATTTCTTAGGGATCACCTTTCTCAACTTCTACATTTTACACTTTAGGAAAGCAAGACGACTTGACCAAGGCTTCATATCTAATAAGCACCTGGGATTGAAACCTCTGTCTTTTAACACCCACCCCTGATTAATTTCCATTACAGCACACTGCCTTACCCTCAATGAAATCTGCTTTTGTCTTCCTTGCAGCTAAGTCAGTTCCAGTTGTTGGAACAAGAAATTACAAAGCCTGTGGAAAACGACATGTCAAAGTGGAAGCCCTCTCAGAGCCTCCCCACCGTAAACAGTAGCGTGGGCGCGCAGGATAGGCAGTTGCTTTGCTTCTACTACGACCAGTGTGAGACCCATTACATTTCCCTTCTCAATGCCATTGACGCTCTCTTCAGCTGCGTCAGCTCGGCCCAGCCCCCGCGGATCTTCGTGGCACACAGCAAGTTTGTCATTCTGAGCGCGCACAAACTCGTGTTCATTGGAGACACGCTGACAAGGCAGGTTGCTGCCCAGGACATTCGCAACAAAGTGATGAACTCCAGCAACCAGCTCTGCGAACAGCTCAAGACTATAGTTTTGGCGACTAAGAAGGCCGCCCTCCACTACCCCAGCACTACGGCCTTGCAGGAAATGGTGCACCAAGTGACAGACTTGTCCAGGAACACGCTGCAGTTCAAGCGCTCTTTGCTGGAGATGGCAACGTTCTGAGAAGAAAAGGAGGACAGGGACTGAGTGGGTTACCAAGGAAAACTGGAAATACTATCTGGTTTTTGTAAATGATATCTATTTTTGTATATATTTTATATGGAAATGAAATATTTTAACATTTTATGGGTTAGACAACATTCAGAACTTCAGGGAGCTAGAGAGGGAACTTTGTTTGTGTGTGTGTGTGTGTGTGTGTGTGTGTGTGTGTGTGTGTGGTTCTTGTGTACACATGTAAGCATCCCGAACATAAACTGTACAGAAACTTGTCCACGTGCGTGTGTGTGCCTGTGTTCATGTTCGTTTGTAGATGTTTGTCTGATACATTCCATTCAAAAACATGAATTAAGAAGCACCTTAATAAGCACCTCCTGATGCTGCATTTTTTTTAGAAAACATGCCAGCTGGTTGTAATATACCTACATATACTAGCAATTTATTTTGAGCCTGTCACTTCCACGTCTGGGAAGGATAGTTTATTTGCAAATGCTCACCTCCCAAATAACAAGGCATGATATAACTTATCCTTCTTTTGAAGCCCCTTCCAAAATTGACTATCTTGGACACATTAGTACAAACTGTCTCACTTCTGGTTGAAAAGGTTTCAGAAAGTGATCTAAGTTCCTATATTCTGGGAGCTGGAGAGGGAAGAGACACGTGTGGTAAGAAGCCAAGTCCCAGTTAGCACTGGGTTGTTTCAACACTGTGCGGACCTCACGATAAAAGGAGAGAGTGTGTTTCCCGAAACTATTTAATAGTCTGTATTTTTGAGTGATTTTGCCATGAGATTTTCCAGATGATGTTTTCAGATTTGCAAAAACCATATTACTTGCAGCAGGAGTTTATAAAGACACATCAGGCTCTAATCATCCACAAAAAAGAAGGATGATTCTGTCTGCAGGTGTAAGTAGAAGCCTTTCTGACTCTCAGCATTCGCTTAGGTGCTACTACCCCTCCATTACCTGAGGGAAGCTGGCCAGTTCCTTGGTCACCAGAATGTTAGAGCCACTAGGCCACATCTGACTCTAAGAGAATTTATTGCTTCATCTTGCACCCTCCGTAAACCATGGCAGACTTTACACTTAGAGTAGCTATACTGAGCCCATTTAATCTTTATAACTCTGTCTGGACAACAATCCTGCATATACAGCCCACCACTCACACAGCATCCATTCCATAGTCTGTCCCCTTGCTTCTACTGGTGTTGGCACAGCACAGACACACCACAAGCCACCTGATTCATCATAGAGCAAATAAAATACTTCCTGCCTGGTGAGAAAATGCATTCACATATTACCAAGCCAAGAAGCATGCTATCACCCTGGCCAGTGTGGCTCAGTTTGGTTGAGCATCATCCCGTGCACTGAGAGGTCACCAGTTCAATTTCTGATCAGGGCACATGCCTGTATTGTCTGCTGGATCCCCAGTGGTTGGGGGGTGTGGAGGGGGGAGGTGCAGAAGGCAGCAGATCAATGGTTCTCATTGATGTTTCTCTCTCTTCCCCTCTCTCTAAAATCAATAAAAACATAAAATAAAAATGAAGCGCACTTCGGTCTTTCAGTCCAGTGCTTATTTAATGGTTTTATTCCAGCCTATTTGAAAACATTTTTATTTACAATGTATGCTTTAACAGAATTAAGCTTGCTTGTTTTAAACAACCAAATCATTGGAACAGCACAAGATTTAAAGAGAAGAATGTGTAATCTCAGTATGGTGAAATACCAGTGAAACTTATCATAGAAGGTGCTTTTCAAAACAACCGTTATTGTACTTCTCAAAGTTCTGCTCTGCCAAAATAAGATTAAAAGTTGTGTTGTTATATGATAAGTAAATGTGTAGGGAGGAAGGGGATTGCTGAAAATCGACAACACTTGAAAAGTATAAAAGTGTGTCCTTGTAGATTTCATTGTAAATGTGTATTTCTTAAGAGGTGACAGATTTGTTCTAAGTGGTGACATTTCATGTTTGTAAAACCAAAATGTTCAATATGTAGTACTCTCTTTGTTCTTGTGTATGTAGAAGCTATTTTAAATCATTAAATTTTTTAGATCTGTGTTTTCATAGCCACTGGGTTTTCTTTTTCATATTTCCCTCCTTATCAAAAAATTAAATACAGGCTTATCTTGGCACTCCTCATACAGAGTCATTTTTATCGATACCATAGATCTGGATTTTTTAGGAAAATCGAGTTGTGTATATTTTTATCTTGTGTCACTTCAGAGTGTATTTGCATTTGAAGAAATATCTGCGATCTGTTAACATTACGAAACCCAAATATCTGGAACAAGGCTCCTCTTCATCAGAAAGCCTGTACTTTTAAGTGATGGAAAGGATGATTTCTGCTACAATATGAATACTGCCATTCATGTGGTTTTAGAATCAAAGGAAATTGTTCCATTCATTATGGAATAGACATAAAGAACAATTTTAAATAAAATGTATTTGATGAAAAAAAAGATTTATAACCACATAAGTTATTTTTAATATTTAGACTGCTCGTTCACTCAGGTCTCCTACTGGGATTTATAGGTAAAGTGTTTGAATATACCTTGTATCACTTGCCCACATCTATAAACATTAATTGGTTTTGAAAAAAATGATGCTTGAACAACTAGATCTCTCCATGAAAGAAAAAAATGAATGCTTACCTTACACCCCACACAAAAATTAACTCAAATAGATCATAGACCTAAATGTAAAACTTAAGGCATTGCCAAGTAGCTCAGTTGGTTAGAGCATCATCTTGATACACCAAGGTTGTGGGTTCAATCCCCTATCAGAGGACACACAAGAATCAACCAATGAATGCATAAATGAGTGGAACAACAAATCAATGTGTATTTTTTTCTCTCTTTTTCTCCCTTTTTCTCTCTCTCTCTCTCTCTCTCTCTCTCTCTCTCTCTCTCATCAATAAATAAAAATAAATTTAAAACTTAACATTCTAATACTTCTAGAAGTAAACAAAGGAGAAAATTTTATGTAGGTAGACAAAGTTTCTTTATATAAAACATAAATAAGCATAAACATAAAAGAAAGAACTGATAATCTGGATTTCTTCAAAATTAAAAACTTTCACTCTTAAGGAGACCATTAAGAAAACAAAAAGGTACAGAAGGGGAGAAAATATTTATACCACATGTATCAGCCAAGGATATGTATCAGAATAAGCAGACAACCAATTTTTTTTAACTGAGCAAAAATTTTGAACAGAAACTTCACAAAAGAAACATGAATGAGCGAATGAAAAATAAGTAAATGAAATATAGCCCAGCCACACATGGCTCAGTGGTTGAGGGTCGACTTGTGAACTAGGAGGTCACAGTGTCATTCCAAGTCAGGGCATATGTCCAGGTTGCGGGCCCTATCCCCAGTGTGGGGCATGCAGGAAGCAGTCGATCGATGATTCTCTCTCATCATTGATATTTCTATCTCTCTCTACCTCTCCATCTCTGAAATCAATAAAAAATATGTTTAAAAGAAATATAAACACAACAAATAGAATGACTAAAATTAAAAAGACAAGCCATATCAACTGCTGACAAGAAAGGGGGACAAATGGAGCTCTCATACACTGCTGGTGAGAATGTAAAATGGTAAACACTTTGGGAAATTCATTGGTAGTTTCTTAAAAAATTAAGTTAGTGCCTACCATATGACTTAGCATTCCTCTCCTAGGTATGTACTCAAGAGGAATAAAAGGTGCTTATAAGGATATTTATAGCCGCTCTATTTGTAGTAGCCAAAAACTAGAAACAACCCAAGTGTCCATCTATGTGATATAGCCACACAATGGAATACTACACAGAAATAAAAGGGAACCAAAAAATTGAAACAAAAAACAACATGAATGAACTTATGTATACAAGAAGCTAGACCAAAAAAAAAAAAAAGAGTGCATATGGCATGTCTTCATTTATGCAAAATTCTAGAAAATGCAAACCACAGTTATAGAAGGCAATCAGTGATTGACTGGGAAGAGAACTGGTGTCAGGGATGAGTTACAAAGGAGCTCGGGGAAGCTGTTGGGAATGATGAAAAGACTATTATTTTTTGTTGTTGTTCTACTGTTCTATTAAGTGAATGTTTAAAAAATAATTACTGTTGAAAGTATTACATATGTTTCCTTTTTCCCCCATAGATGCCCTCCAGTCCGCCCCCACTCCCCACCCCAAGACCTCACCGCCCCATTGTCTGTGTCCAAGGGCCATGCATATATGCATACAAGGTCTTTGGTTGATTACTTCCCACCCTCCCATCCTCATCCGCCTTCTCTTTGAGATTCTGCACTCTGTTGCATGCTTCTATGACTCTGGATCCACTATGTTCATCAGTTTATTTTGTTACTTAGATTTCACATATGAGTGAGATCATGTGATACTTATCTTTCTCTGACTGACTTACTTCACTTATCATGATCCTCTCAGGTCCCTCCATGCTGTCTCAAAGAGATTCTTCTTTTTTACTGCTGCATAGTATTCCATGGTATAAATGTACCACAGCTTTTTTATTCACTCAACTACTGAGTTGGGCTGTTTCCAGATCTTAGCTATTGTAAATTGTGCTGCTATGAACATAGAGGTGCATGCATTCTTTCTGATTGGTGTTTTGGGTCTCTTAGGATATATTCCTAGAAGTGGGATCACTGGGTCAAATGGTAGTTCCATATTTAATTTTTTGAGAAAACTCCATACTGTTTTCTATACTGGCTGCACCAGTCCGCATTCCCACCAGCAGTGTACTAGGGTTCCCTTTTCTCCACATCCTTGCCAGCACTTGTTATTTGTTGGTTTGTTGATGGTAGTCATTCTGACAGGTGTGAGGTAATACATCATTGTCATTTCAATTTGCATCTCTCTGATGATCAGTGACTTTGAGCGTTTTTTCATGTGTCTCTTAGCCATCTGTATGTCTACTTTAGAGAAGTGTCTATGTAGGTCCATTGCCTATTTTTTTTTAAATTAAATCTTTATTGTTCAGATTAGTACATTTGTTCCTCCTTTTCCCCCCATAACTCCCCTCCACCCAGTTCCCACCCCACCCTCCACCCTCACTCCCCACCCACTGTCCTCATCCATAGGTGCACGATTTTTGTCCAGTCTCTTCCCCCATCCCCCACACCCCTTGCCCCCCCAAGAATAGTCAGTCCATTCCCTTTCTATGTCCCTGATTCTATTATAATCACCAGTTCATTCTGTTCATCAGATTATTTATTCACTTGATTCTTAAATTCACTTGTTGATAGATGCGTATTTGTTGTTCATAATTTGTATCTTTACCCCTTTCTTCTTCCTCTTCTTAAAGGAGACCTTTCAGCATTTCATATAATACTGGTTTGGTGGTGATGAACTCCTTTAGCTTTTCCTTATCTGTGAAGCTCTTTATCTGACATTCACTTCTGAATGATAGCTTTGCTGGATAAAGTAATCTTGGTTGTAGGTTCTTGGTATTCATCACTTTGAATATTTCTTGCCACTCCCTTCTGGCCTGCAAAGTTTCTGTTGAGAAATCAGCTGACAGTCGTATGGGTACTCCCTTGTAGGTAACTGAGTTCCTATCTCTTGCTGCTTTTAAGATTCTCTCTTTGTCTTTTGCTCTTGGCATTTTAATTATGATGTGTCTTGGTGTGGTCCTCTTTGGACTCCTTTTGTTTGGGGTTCTCTGCGCTTCCTGGACTTGTAAGTCTATTTCTTTCACCAGGTAGGGGAAGTTTTCTGTCATTATTTCTTCAAATAGGTTTTCAATATCTTGCTCTCTCTCATCTTCTGACACCCCTATAATTCGGATGTTGGTACGCTTGAAGCTGTCCCAGAGACTCCTTACACTATCTTCGTATTTTCGGATTCTTTTTTCATTTTGCTTTTCTGGTTGGTTTGGATGTTTTTTGCTTCTTCGTATTTCAAATCTTTGACTTGAATCTTGCGATCCTCTGGTCTGCTGTTGGGAGTCTATATAACATTCTTTTTCAGTCAGTGTATGCTTCATTTCTAGTTGGTTCTTTATCACAACATCGAGGGTCTCATTAGATTTCTTGTACATCTCATTAAATTTATCGGCAGTCTCTAGAAGACTCTTGAAAGACTTCAAAAGTGTGGTTTTGAATTCTATATCCAGCAGCCTGCTTTTCTCCATTTCTGTCATTTGTGTCCTGTTTCTTTGTCTCCGCATTTTTTATGCTTTGCTGTGTCGATAGAGTGGCTTTCTGTGCTAAGTGTCCCAATTACCTGAGGTAGACAGTCTTGGTGCACCCCCTTGTGGTCTTTGTGCACAGTCTTGTTGTAGCTAAGCTTTGATTGTTGTAGGTAACACTGGGAGGGATTTGACCTCCAGGCCAATTGGCTGTGAGAATCAGCTGTGTCTGCAGTGGGAGAACTTCTGTCCTGGATCTCTAGGGCGGTGCTAATCTAGCCTCTGCCAGAGGCTAACCAGCAAATGCCTCACTGCAAGGCTTGGGTGGGGCGGATCCCAGGGGATCAATAGGGTGGGCCGAGCGAGCAGTTATGGCTGCTCTCAGTCCCGTCCCCAGAGGCTCTGCCTCTCAGTTCCCGGTAATCGCTGCAAGCCTCTTGGAGAGAAAGCTGCCCTCGAGTTCCGACTGATGCCAGACAGTCCCACTTCTCCCGTTTGAGTCTGGGTCCCCAGAGACTCGCCCGGAACTGGAGCTCAGAGCCTGAGACTCCCTCCTGATTGAAACAGACAACCGCGCCCTCAGCCACCAGCCCGCTCCACACGCACCTCCGCACCTTTGTATTTTACTTCAGCACTGCGCCTCCTCTGAGTCTCAGTACGCTTTTCTCTTTCCTTCTAGTTGTAGAATTTCCCCTCAGCCAGCCTTCCTGTGGTTCTGGGTGATGTCCGTTCCATCTTTTAGTTGTATTTTTGAAGTGGTTGTGCAAGGCAGCAATCTCCGGTGTTTACCTATGCCGCCATCTTGGTTTTCCTCCCATTGCCTATTTTTTAATTGGATTGTTTGTCTTCCTTCTGTTAAGTTGCATAAGTTTCTTATATATTTTGGATATTAACCCTTTAACAGATGTATAATTGCCATATATGTTCTC